CATAGAGTATAAACCTAGGACTGCGATTAAGTCATAAATTTNTAATATACATATACCAGCTATTTTTAATTTAAGAGATTAGGTGAGCAACTATTTAGATTAATTCTTCAAATATTTATATTTTCTAGGTAATACACATATATTATATACAATATATTAATTTGCTGGCAAAATTTTTGAGTGGATTTAACATGTCCGATCAAACTAGGTATATCCATTTACAAGTCATTTTGAGCATAAATTTAGTTAGTCATTCTAAAAGTTTGGAATAATATGAGTTGCATATGCCCAAATTAGAGCCCATTTGGATTGACTTTTTTTAAGTGGCTTTTAAGCATAAGTCAATAAGTTAGGAATTTTAATTTTTGTCTTTTGATTTGTTTTTGTCATTTTAGCTTAAAAATAAGTGTTTAAAAGTATTTTTTTTTAATTTATTCAAACACTACAAAGACTTAAAAGTTATTTTAGTTTAAAAGCACTTAAAATAAGTCAATCCAAACGGACTCTTAATATAGTCCAACCCGCCCATACATTTGTCTCCTATAGTGTCATTGTGTCCCAAAATATTGTTATTTCAATATTTTCTATTACTTTCTTATGAATGCTATAGCGTTTGGAGAATTTTTAGGAAAAGCTGTTGGATGAATAATCCGAATGTTTGTGCAAAACAAAAACTTATTCGGATAGTTCTCTGTTTTTTCCCTTTTCAATCTTGTGAGTTTCCTCTCCTTTTTATTTATGGTTTCTTTTTTATAAAGCAAAGGCACTTTCTAACTTAGTATTTTCTAATCTCAAAGAAAAAAACGGAAAAATTAATTGACCAAATTTTTTTGAGACTTTTCAAAGTGTTTAAGAAAATTTCCACATATAGAAAAGTTGCACGCATGACATTCCCATCTTATATTCCTATTTGAATATAGTATATCATAAATTCAAAAAGTCATGTCCTCTCTTGGTCCTGTTGGGTGGCAATAAGCTGCGTTTGGAAAAAATTTTGGATAAGTTTTTGGATAAATGTTGTGAAGAAATGATTGTGCAATATTGTGAGTGTCTCCTATTATTTTTTGTATTTTTAATAAAAACAGGCACTTTCAGACATTAAAAATTCCTAAAAATCTCAAAAGAAAAATCCAAATAATTTAACCGACCAAATTTGTTTGAAGACTTTTGAAGTGTTTAAGAAACTTTCCACTATTAATATGGACGTGTACAGCTCAATAAGATTTTGTAATATATTTCAGAAAATGAGAAACAATTTGAACTTATATAATGCATGAACCTTTTCCTGTCAATTGACTTGGAAAAAATTACTAATTGGAGTATACTAATTATTTAGGTTAATATTTCAAAAGGGTGATTGTCAATGTCATATATAGCTAAAATTCAAATACTAAAAATTTTTGGGAAATAAAGAAAATGTGGTTTGAATAAGTGAGGGTGCGCTACACACCTCAGACTTGAGCTATAAATTACGATAGAAACTTGACAACCAAATTTCCATCAGCTCTTCTGTATTCTTCTACGTCTAAAGAGATTTATATCATATTATCAAAAGAATTTGAAGCAAAAAATAAAGAAATTGAAAATGTCTGAAAGGGAAGACAATTCAGGGCTCCTTGATTATCTACTGGAAAAGAATGAAATCTACGATAACTTTCAAGATAACGCTGAAAATTCAAGTACTGGTTTTCTGCGAACCAAAGACTCCAAGTATGTTAATTACTCCTGTTTTCAATATTATGTTCAATTTCCTCAGTCTTGATTAACTCCCTATTCTTTAAACCAGAACCATAACTAGTTAATTTCATGACTCTTTAACGAAATGAACAGAGTGAACAAGAAAGTGATGCAATTCCACTTACAACATATTTGGAATGACCGATTTGGTGTGTTCGCGTCATTACCTTATTTTTCTCTCATTTTGCCATTTTTTATAATTAAATAATCTTATTTTATCATTTACCCTATCTTTTTATATAATTATAATATTACCTCGTACCTTACTTTTTTTATAATATTACAAATTTATTCTTCGTATAGTTAGTGCATGACATCATGAAACGACGTCAAACAATACAATTTATCCAAATATTGTATATATCAAAACAATACATAAAATATTGTAATACAATATGAAAAATTAAAACGTATGTATTGCGTAATTCGGATTGATCTTAATTTCTTATATTTAATGGCAGAGGTGAGTCTGCTGGCGCACATTGCGTCATGGGAACGGCGTGGGTTTATAGAGATGAAAACGGAAAACAGATTTTTGAAAAGCAATTAACTGAAGATGACATTACTAGTGATCACTTACAGATTCCCAAGAGAATGGCGCATTATATACAGAGTCTGGAATTACAACGCGCTGATCCTGGAGAAAAATACTGGGAAATGGATTTGCAATTGGATAATTGGGGCGATCGTGAATGTCAATTCACTGGACAGTGGAAGGACTTTGTCAATGAAAATAAGTCGAAAGCAAAAGATTTGGTAGTAATTGAGATTTTTAATAACAAAAAGCGACTTAAAATTGGATGCACTTCAGACCAGAAAGCTATTAACTTGAACAATCCTATATTTCTCAGGCGTTTGTCTAGAGCTGACGTTAAAGGACTATATGTACAAAAGTTGCGCGAACAATATTCCTATAGTGGTAATACTGGATTAATAGAGATAGAACCAGTTATTGAGATGAAATTATGTTCTGAAATTGTGTACAGATATGGTGGTACTAATGGTGTAATGTTCATACAATTACCAAAGAAAGAAGTAGAAAAAAATCTGGGCCGCGATCTTTCTCTTCCTGCAGTTGGCGGAGAAATTGCACTACCTTTATTTGATCCAGTAGGAAACAATGTGGTGGAGATGAAATTGGTGCATACTGAGAAGGATGAATATCATATTGGAGGAGAATGGGAAATATATGCTGCTAAATATGACTTATTAATGTCTGATACCATTTTTCTTGACAAGGTAACTGTGCATCGCGATCATGATCAAAAGCTGAATAATCCAAGTACTGCAAAACTTTCCTATCACTATGAAATCACGTACCAGAGACGGCGAGGGACTAAAGATCAGAGCAGTTTGGCAGCTGCAGCTGCTACTGTACTTGATGATGCTGGCTATAATAATATAAAGGATAACGGCGTTAACTCTTGTATAATGTTGTAGCTGGTAATGTGACTAATGTCAGTACCTTGATTTTTCCTGCTCACTAACAGAAGAACGTTTTGTGATACTAATACTTAGTAGTATTATGTGCTGTTGTATGTCTTGCTCAATTTTTATTTTTATTTTTATTTTTTCTGAATGTCAACTCGTGTTTATCTGTTTCAGAATTGGTCAAGATCCCAATGTAATAGCCAAAGTTTTCATCTTTTTCTGTTACAAGGGTATTGTAATATAATTCTCCAGAAAGCTTTGAAAAGATAATTAATCGACATGTACGCTATTTCTACCTTTTCTTGGTAGCTTATTGCAATTTTGAGTAAGGAAAACCACCCCCCAAAAAGAAAAGGAAAACGAAAAAAGAGGGGAGGAATGTGTAAACAGGTTTCTAACTAGTAACAACCTTTTGAATTTCAGTTGTAGACAGATAAGTTTAGAGCCTAAGTGCCTGTTAAAAGTGCCTTTTTTGCTCAAAAAAAAGTACTTATTAAAAAATTTGAGATGTTTGGGCCTGATGAAAAAGTGCTTTTGAGCAGAACAATTTTGCTTTTGAGGAGAAGCTATAAATTTTAGCTTTCTTGCAATAAATTTATATTTTTCAATTTATCCCTTATTAATTTATATTTCTCTTTTTTATTTTTGTTGTTTTTTATTCTCTTTTTCATGTTCCTCTTCTATATAAGATTTATAAGAGTAGATTTAAATTTATATTGAATGATGTATTTTGATATATTTAAATCATCATGTCAATAATAATAATACTAGTTACCCGATATTATTGCTTTGAAATAAATATATTTTATATTAATCAAAATCTTAAATTTATATTGTTACTTTATGTTTTATATTTTAGTTGAATTCCATTATAATAAATATTTAAATGCTTATCTCTTTTTAAATAATACTAATTACAAATTGAATCCTTATTGTCCCTTTTTGTAATTTGATACTCAAAAGTATTTTTTTGTAAAGATTGGCCAAACACAATTTGCTTACAAAAAGCACTACCCAAATGAGTTGGCCAAACAAAAATGCTATTTTGCAAAAGTACTTTTTCAAAAAGCACTTTTGGACAAAAATACTTTTCAAAATAATTAGTTTTGGCAGGCCAAACGGGCTCTAAAATGGTAACTGCTTAACCTCTAAAATGGCAGATTGCCGTTCCTTGTTTTCTTTGTAATTATTTAATTTCTTGGCCATCATTGAAAGTTAACAAACAAGCAACGGGAAATTAAAATTGGTTGCTAAAAGAAGTTATGACTAGATTTTTTGCTGTCACCAAAGTGATTTAAGGACTGGAATCTAGTCGTCAATACATGCTATCTTAATTTACGTAGAGCGATCACATTTAGACCTTTACCCATCAAATTTCCCCTCACTAGTTTACTTGTGATGAATATGTAAGACGTTGAATCATACTCTCCTAAAATTTTCTTTTCTAGTGAAGTTAAACACTAAAAACAATGTATATTATAATAGATTAAAAGGCCAAAAAAGGGTGAATGGGAGTAAGTAATGCAGCATACTACAATATCAACAGTATATACTTGAGTTGATTGTTCAAATTTGAATGCCCTGTTCTCTCTCATTTTTCCCTTTCATGCCTTCCTATCGTTAAAACTTGTACAACTTTCGTCCGTCATTTCATTATTGATTTGTTACCTTGGTCTTTAATTCTTGATTCAGTTCTAGCAACTGAAAGATGCTCCCCCGCCATCCTTTTTTTTGAGACGTGTCATTCTTTTTTAATTAATAAAAAAAGGAATAATATCATATAAAATGGAACAGATCAAAAATATATATTTAGAGTAAATAAGGAAAAAACATTTCAACAAAGTACTAAGTAATGAACAGACACAAAACCCAAAAGGCGTAAAACAACAATCCAACATAAACTAGTGCTAGAAATCAGCAACAAATTGATAAAACTAAAGATCTAGCTATTTAGTAGAGATGTGAAATGAAAAGAAAGAACACAAGAGGAAGAGCATAAAGTTGTCGAAAGAGTGCCAATGTGGGAGCTAAAGCTGCAGAATAATCATTGATCACATCCTGTACCAGAACCCTGACGATCATACGCTCTCCTCTCTCACAGTGTCCTGCTGCTCCACTCACGAAATAAAAATAGCCAGAACGATCCAATTTGAACATCGTGTTTCCTGTGTTGGAAAAGAAATGGGGGCGTGTTGAGTTGCATTTCTTGTATTCATTCTCTGTCACCTCCATTACTGAGTCCTTCTTGTACTTGAAACCTGAATTCCAACACTTTTGGTGTAAAAATTTGTACTATCATAGGTTAAGTAAAGTTCAACTACAACTAACTGTCTAATTGGTAACATAGAAAGAAGGCAAACATGCATGTTAAAAGCAATTAAAATATAGTGATTCTCTAAAAACAAAAAAAATTAAGTTTTTATAAGCATGTAAAGAATTTTATAGACGCAGAGAGAAATTTATAACAAAATTTCAAGTTACTATCTCTTCTCGTCTTTTCCGTCTTCTTGAGCCGATGGTCTTCCTGAAACAGTCTCTCTACTCCATCGAGGTCGGGGTAAGGTCTGCGTAAACACTACCCTCCCCAAACCCCACTTGTAAGATTTTACTGGGTCGTTGTTGTTGTTTTATCTTCGACTTGCTATGAATGTTAGTAAACCAAATTAAGGAAAAATAAATATGTACAACGTCGTGATATGAAGAGCGACATATTATTATAGGTTAATTTAACTTGATGCATTATAAAATCTATTCACTGTTAAGCGTACAAAACTTAAACCTAATTAATAGTACTATAGTAACTTAAATCCTTTGTGCTAGTAGGCTGCTATTTACATGAAAGTTGTTAGTTAAACAGCGCTTACGAATGGTGTCGCCGACTTTGAACCTCATATTGGACGCCCAATTGTTGTAAAAATTGGTGTCATTTGCGGGAGGAACTGCCCAACCAGTAGTGTCACCAACTTGGAATTCCAAGGAGGAGACATACACGACTTGAAGAGAAATCATCATTAAAATTGAGACGAGCATGTAACGAGAGCATAGGAAAGCCATGATCAGAAGTTAGGTAATTGATTAAGAGCTCAGAGATGATGAGGAAATTGCCTAGAGGGAATTAAAAAGCTTTTTCAGAGTGTGATATGATAATGAGGAATTTCGAAGGAATTAACAAATCTTTGTGTTTAGTATCATAGGTGAGCAGTTATTATATATATATATATCAGTTAAATAGACGTGCACATACTTAACGTGGGTGGGAGGAAAAAATGGAAACGTGAAGGTGGTGGTGGGCTTAGTGGCTGAAATGCAAATCCCAAATATTTATTCCTAATTAACTGTTGCATTATCCTCTTGCTTATTTCGTGAACCCACAGTATCTGTCTTCTGTTATTTTATTTTTTTTCTTTAGTTGCCCTCAAGCTCACTTATAATACTGACTTGAGGTGGAGGACAACAGTTTCAATTTTCAGAAGAAGTCAATTTATTTATTCACAAATTGTGAGCCAAACATAAAAATTAACTCCTATAAACTTATTATATAGTGTATCATCTATTAATACAGTTAAATTAATCAACAAGAAGTAGCGTGCAGTACAAGTTAGTAGGTAACTGCATATATCATTCACCAATAAGTAATTTGACTTTAGAAACTAAATATTAAAGTAAAAATGCATATCAATTAACCATGGTTAATTAAGCGATAAATATGTATATGAAAGATACACGTTTTGTATTTACTAGTTTGATGTAAATATCTAACGTGACGTATGAGAACACGGAAAATGAAAAAAAGGTATGGAGAAAATTAATGAAGTATGGCTAATAATATTAATGAGTCATTACTATATTATGAGCTAACCGTATGGAAGAAATTAAAATGGCAGGAGAAAAAAAGGGGAAAAGTACTGGTGACTTCGTATCCTTGCTATACCTATTAATCAAGCGGGCCAGCCCATCGACAGCCCGGTTCGAATCGGTTCAGCCCGGGTCAGTCCGGTACGCTAGAGAGGGTGGGACGGTTTGGGGAGGGTTGGGGAGGTTGGGGAGGGAGCCGGACGGGAACGGACATAATTTGGTAACCGGTGCCCCGGAACCCGGTTAGCCCGATTACCCACTACCGAGTTTTTAAGGGCTACAACCCGGTCCAGCCCGGTTACCGTTGGAATTTTATTTTATTTTTTTAAATTTTGACCGTTGCCAACGGTCAAATTCAAAAATGATCGTTGGGCAACGGCCATTTTTTACAAATTTTGCCATTCCGGCCTACCCCTCGAGAAAATAGCCCCCTCCCCCACCCCCACCCCTAATAATTGAAAAATTACAATTTTAACCTTTTAAAAACTATAAATAGCCCCCCTTCTTCTTTATTTTTTTCTCATAATTTGCTCTCTTACTATTCTAATTCTCTCTTGATAATATTGCTTATTGCTCTTAAATTCTCAATTACTTATTATTTCAAGTTTCATCAAATATTTATTTTAGTCACTACGAAATTATAATTATCAAATATCAACTGAAGTTTGATATCAAATTTAGTGCGGCATTCGGAATCCCGGTACACTCGTTCCATCTCTTTCTCTTCTTTGGTGTATATTTTTATTTTATTATTTAGAATTATTAATTTAATTTCTTAATTTAATTTACAAAATGGATATATTTAGAGCAGCCAAAAAAGCGTGTACTAGTATGAATGGTAGTAGTAAGAGTAAAACTTCTAAAAAAAATAAGAGGTGGTGGTGGTTCTTCTAGTAGCTTTACACATATTTCTGAAAGTTCACTTGAAAATTTAAATGGAGATTGTGAGCAACTTCAAGAAAATTATGGTATAGATGATAATTTATAGGATATTCAATCACCTGATAATCTTGAAACACCACCAGCTACACCTAGTAATGCTAGTCAAACTCAAAATACTAGGGGTGGAGGTCGTGGTAATACAGATAGGCCTCCCCTCCCTATTAAGAGAAATCGAAGATTAAGAAGTAAGTGTAAAATTTTTTTGAAAGACTAAAAGAAGATAAAAATTATGTAAGATGTCAAATTTGTAAGGAAGTTTATACCGAAGGTAAGGCAGGGAGAACGGGACAACTTCGTAGGCACATGGTAGATAACCACCCTATTGCATGGGGTGCTGATGAGGAAGGTGGGAACTAAAACTTAACCTGGGTACTGGCAGTTTAATGGGTAAATACGATATAGTGAAAGATCGGGAAGAATTAGCTAAAATGATTATTTTAGGTTGTTTACCTTTTAGTTTTGTTGCTTCTCCATATCTTGTTACTTGTACTCAAAGAATTTGTAACCCTTTGTTTAAAGGTATTCCTAGAAGTACTTGTAGAGCTGATATCTTTAGGCTTTTTGGACAATATCAGACATATATTGTTCGTCAGTCTTTCTTGTAGAGTTTCTCTTACTTCTGATATTGGTCGTGTTGTTAATGAAAATAATTATTTGACTGTTATATGTTATTGGATAGATGATAATTTTTGTATGTAAAAATGTATTATTGCTTTTAAATATGATAAAGATCAAAGTCATGCTGGTGCATTTATAAGTAATACTATCCATGAAATTGCTATATTTTACAATCTTTAAGAAAAAGTTTTGTGTATGTCATTTGATAATGCTTCTAACAACAATTCTACTATTACAATATTAAAATTGCATCTACACCCACCACTTCCTGAAATATTTCATGTTAGGTGTGCATGTCATATTTATAATTTAATTGTGAAGAGTGGCCTTACATTATTTAGAGATGAGATCACTTTAATTAGAAGAGTTGTTTGTGTAATTCAAGAAAATAATAGAAGTGCTAGATTAAATGCATTTAAGGAAAAATATTTACAATATAGACTAAAACCAAGACTCATGCCTCAAGAAATAGTTACTAGGTGAAATTATACTTATTTATTCTTAAGATGTTGTCATAAATATAAAATGCCTATAACTGAAGTTGCTAATTCTCATTGTATTGATCCTAACCGTTTGTTAACATCTAGAACTTGGGATGTCATTGAAGATGTTGTAAAAATTTTACAAAAATTTTATGTGGCTACACTTGAGTTTTCTGGAGCTTATTATCCTACTATTGCAAATGGTTTTGTTCATATTGCTGAAATTTCTCTTTTACTCCATAATTTGAAGAAAAAAAAAAGGATAAACTTCTATTGTTGAATCTATGCTAGAAAAATTTAAGAAATATTTCTATCCAATTCCCCCTATTTACTTAATTGGTGCTATTTTAAACCCTTATATCAAAATGTTCATTTGTCGTCAATTAATCACTGCTTTATATATTTATATGGATATTGGACCAACTGAAACCCCTGATGTTGAAACTTGTATTTCTGATCTACACATATATTTACAAATTTTATATAATTATTATGCTAACATTGTTGATGCTTCTGCTGCTGTAGATGCAAATATTCCTTCAAGTTTAGTTTCAACATCTGCATCTGGTGTTTTGGAGGATAATGATGGTGTTGAAGATTATTTGATTTGGTCTACACTAGGAGAGCATCAACAAACTAGTAGCAGGAACATTGATGAACTCCAATTCTACTTGCAAAAGTCACTAGAGCCCCGCACAAAAGAATTACTACCGCTGGGTTGGTGGAGGAGCAACTCAAATTAATTTCCTGTTCTTTGGGCCATGGCTCGAGACGTGCTAAATGTGTCGATTTCAACAGTCGCATCAGAGAGTGCATTTAGCCAAGCAAGACAGCAACTAGGAGATACTCGTCATTCATTGGGCAGCAATGCTTTGAAAAATCTAGTGTGCTTCAGAGATTGGATAAGATCAGAACGGCGAAATCAAGGGCGTGAAAAGTTAGATGAAGCGGAGGACCAAGAAATTGGAGATATAATGGTTTATGGTTCCGATTCAAGCAATGCCGGAAATCAAGAACTTCATGTTGACATGGATGAACTTACAAAAATGATGCAAAGCATATGATGTACTCTTTCGTATTTTTTATAATTGTTGTAAACTTTTAATTTGCAAGTTCAAAAATAAAATAAAAATAAAAATAGAACTTACAAATTAATTTGAAGTATTATTTATTATACAATAAAAATATAAAACAAAAGCCTTCGCAATTTGATCCTTACATATTGCTTATTGGTCTTATTAAATAATTTTTTATAGCCACTTACTTTCAAATTTCAAATTTAAAACTTTCAAGTTAATTTTAAGCCTTAAAAGTTTGCAAACACTTAAATATCAATAACATTGAATAAGAAAAATAAAGATAATACACTACAAGAAAAAGTAACTCGGCCCGGTCCGGACCCGTTAAGCCCGAACCCGGACGTGCCCTAATTAGATCGGAATTTCCCAGCCCGTTTATCCAACCCACTAACCAGTCCGGAACAATAACTGAACGGGCTATTTTTTTCCGTATCCAGCCCGTCCGGTTAACACCTATAATCCTGGCTAGACTTGCTTCATTACGCTTTGCAATTCCTTTTTTTAATTTAGTTTATTAAAACTGTAAAAATAGCGGAATTTATTAAAAACAAAAAGCCACATTGACCAATTCAAAACCTTGCAAAATACAGTTTGAGCAGATACCTTGCCTTTCTCACTTAATATTCTAAATTAAAATCGTTAACGGAAACATCAGAGATTGAGTTTGTAACACTAATATTAATGAAAAATAAAAATTCGTAACACTAATTCACATTCACATGAGGTAGCTAAGAAAAAAATCCTTCAAACTCCCAAAACGCCTCCGACTGCCTGCTTTGAAAAAATTAAACATTTGTGGATTTACACAATATTAAACGCCAAAATGCAAAGTTGTTTTAACAACAACAACCCACTAGAATTCAACAATTGGGGTCTGGAGAGGGTAGAGTATACGCAGACCTTACCCCGACTCCGGAGGATAGAGAGGATGTTTCCGGGAGACCCTCGGCTCAAAGACAATAGATCCGTGACAACAACAGAAACCTGAAAAATAGAATCAATATCGTAAAGACAGTAAATAAATAGAAAGGCCAAAATGTGAAAGACATCAAAAATGTGAAACACAACAAAAACCGCTAGCACTCCTAGAAAAAACACTATCAGCCTAGCCTGCACAACGAGGATACACGCACGCTACTCCTAACCTACAATCCTAATGCTCGACCTCCACACCTTGCTATCAAGGGCCATATCCTCAAAAATCTGAAGTCGCGCCATGTCTTGCCTAATCACCTCGCCCCGATACTTCTTAGGCCGCCCTCTACCTCTTCTCGTACATGTCAGAGCCAACTAAGCCTCGTTTCCCGCATCTTGTCATCCAAAGGAGCCACGCCCACCCTCTCCCGAATGTCCTCATTCCTAATCTTATCCATCCTAGTGTGCCCGCACATCTACCTCAACATCCTCATTTCTGCTACTTTTATCCTCTGGATATGTGAAATCTTGACTGGCCAACACTCAACCACATACAACATAGCTGGTCTAACTACCGCTCTATAGAACTTACCTTTAAGTTTCGGTAGCACATTCTTGTCACACAAGACTCCAGACGCTAACCTCCATTTCATCCACCCCACCCCGATACGGTGCGTTACATCCCAGTCGATCTTCCCATCTCCCTGGATAATAGACCCTAGGTACTTAAAACTCTCTCTCTTAGGGATGACTTGTGAATCCAGCCGCACTTCCATATTCGCTTCCCCCGACATATCGCCGAACTTACACTCCAAATATTCCATCTTGGTCCTACTCAACTCGAAACCTTTGGACTTCAGGGCCTGCCTCCATATCTCCAGTCTCTCGTTAACGCCGCCTCGTGTCTCATCAATCAGAACTATATCATCAGCGAACAACATACTCCATGGCACCTGCCCTTGAATATGGTGTGTCAGTGCGTCCATCGCCAGGGAAAATAAGAACGGGCTGAGCGCAGATCCTTGGTGTAACCCCGTAATGTCACGACCCGAAATTCCCACCGTCGGAACCCTGATGGCGCCTAATATTTTACTTGCTAGGCAAGCCAACGTTACAGAATCATTAAACCAAATCCTTATTTCCATTCAGTAAATAACAATAATTAGCTAAGATGAAATATAATAAGTGCGGAATAATATAAAAACTGTATTAATTACTACCACCCGGATCTAGAGTCACAATTCACGAGCATTCTAGAATTTACTACAAGTAATAGTCTGAAAGAAATACAACTGTATGAATAAAAGAAGCAGTAGAACAAAAAAGATAGATAGGGACTTCAAGGTCTGTGGACGCCGACAGATCTACCTTGAGTCTCCGAATAGTAGTCCAATAGCAAAAATCTCGATCAACCCGAGCCGGTACTAAAATCTGCACAGAAAGTGCAGAGTACAGTATCAGTACAACCGACCCCATATACTGGTAAGTGTCGAGCCTAACCTCGACGAAGCAGTGACGAGGTTAAGGCAAGGCACCTACAAATCAACCTGTATAATTTAACAGTGTATATACAAATAACAGTAATGAATAGCAAGACAGGAAGTATCGGGAGGGGAAAAACATGCTGGGGGGAATACGAGATAAGGAACTACAGCAGAATGATAATTGGAACAACCAATATACTACTAATCAACAGAAACAACTAATACAGTAAAGAAAAAAAATATGCACGGCATCACCCTTCGTGCTTTTACTCTCAATCTCACCATAAAATCAATAGAAACGGCACGACATCACCCTTCGTGCATTAACTCTCATATCATGGCACGACATCACCCTTCGTGCTTTTACACTCGGAATATGGCACGACATCACCCTTCGTGCATTAACACTCACAATATAACACGACATCACCCTTCGTGCTTTTACATTCACAATATGGCACGGCATCACCTTCGTGCTTTTACACTCACAATATGGCACGACATCACCCTTCGTGCATTAACACTCTCCCTTACCATAATGCAATGCATAAGTAACGACAAGGAGATAGAATAACAAGTACAAGCCTTACTTCAACATTTGGTTCCACAATATCAATCTCAACTTTGAAATAAATACTCAATTATGACCAGAGAATCCGTAATCATGATAAGAACGATCAATTTAACAACACTAGTCTAAACACGTAACAATTAGGCATAGGAAAGAGACAATATAAGAAAAATGGGAGAAAACAGGGAAAAACAGGTAAATTGGCGGCGCATAAGTACTCGTCATCTCACATATACGCCGCTCACATGAATTTCACATAGCAAATAATCTGAGGTTCCTAATTCCCTCAAGTCAGGGTTAGACACAATACTTACCTTGCTCCGAATGCCACTTAATTCTCAATCACAGCTTTTCCTCTAGAATTCACCTCCAAACCACTCCCATCTATTCAAAAATGACTCAATAATATCAAATATTGCTAAAGAAATTAATTATATTGTATAAATTAAATTTCTCAATTTTTTCTCCAAAAAGTCAAAAATCGACCCCGGGCCCGCTTGGTCAAAACCCGAAGTTCGGACCAAAATCCATTTACCCATTCACCCCCGAGCCCGGATATATAATTAATTTTGGAATCCGACCTCAAATTGAGGTCTAAATCCCTAAATTTCTGAAATCCCTAGTTTCTACCCAAACCCCTAATTTTATCATGAAAACTCTAGATTTTAGGTTGAAAATTCATGAAATATAATGGGTAATTGAAAGAAAATGGTTTAGAATCACTTACCAACACTTTGAGGAAGAAAATATCTCTTGAAAATCGTTTCTAGCCCGTTTGATTTTTGAGAAAATGAGTTAATGGCCAATTCTCGTTTTCGGATTCTGTTAAGTGCTGGGCGACAGTGTTCATCGCGATCGCGTGAACACTGTCGCGTTCGCGAAGAGCAGCCTCCTAAGGACTTACGCGATCACGGGAGGCCTTACGCGTTCGCGAAGGCTTAGCCCGCCTTGCCTTCGCGTTCGCGAGACAAGGCTCGCGTTCGCATAGGGTTTCCCAGGTCCCCAGCCCAGCCTAGCTAAAGCTACGCGTTCGACGGGTCGCGTTCGCGTAGAGCAACTCCCCCCCAATGCTCCGCGTTCGCGACCATGGTCTCGCGTTCGCGTAGAGTAAAATCCTCTCCAGTCTAGTTTCCCCTTCGCGATCATGAGAGTGACTACGCGATCGCGAAGCGCAACATAGTAGACACCAGATACAACAAAAATACCAGATTTTCTTAGTCCAAAACATCCTGTAACCTATCCGAAATTCATCCGAGCCCTCGGGGCTACAAACCAAACATGCACACAAGTCTAAAAATATCATACGAACTAGCTCGCGCGATCAAATCTCCAAAATAACACCTAAAACTATGAATTTAGCACCAAATCGAATGAAAATTTCAAGAAAGCTTTAAAATTCCTATTTCCACAATCGGACGTTCGAATCACGTCAAATCAACTCTGTTTCTCACCAAATTTCACAGATAAGTCATGAATATTATATTAGACCTATACCGGGCTCCGAAACTAAAATACGGACTCGGTATCAACAGTGCCAAACATCAACCAATTCTTAAAAATAATTAATTTTTAGACTTTTAAATTTTTATCAAAAATTCATAACTCGAGTTAGGGACCTCCGAATTCGATTCCGGGCATACGTCCAGGTCCCATAATTCGATACGGACCCACCGGGACCGTCAAAATACGGATCCGGGCCCGTTTACCAAAAATATTGACCGAAGTCAATTAAAATCAACTTTTAAGGCAAAAATTCTTATTTTCATCAATTTTCAACATAAAAGTTTTTCGGAAACATGCTCGGACTGCGCACGCAAATCGAGGAGGATAAAATGAGATTTTTAAAGTTTAAGAGCGTAGATTCGAGTTTTAAAACATAAGATGACTTTTTGGGTCATCACACGTAACTATCGGGAAAGGCTCCGAGTTCCCTCCCACAGTCCTAACCCGAGTCTTAGCTCCATCATACATATCTTTTATCGCCCGAATATTAACAGTGAATTTCATACATAACAGTTGAAATACTAACAGTGGATTTCACTCCCAAGCAGTCACAGAAATATGTTAAAAAATAACTACCTGTACAATAAAATAAAACCAACGCAAAAATAAAACGGACTTTACTAAAGAAACTTCTGATAAAGAGTTAATTTTTAAAGAATTTGCACAATATAAATTCGAATTCGGACCAAGTTTTGTATACTTTGATTACACACAAAAGAGAAATGTAAAAATAGCACGGGTTAGTCAGTTTTGTGACTGATAATTGAAAAATAGTCAGCGTTTGCAAAGTCATTGAAAATAATCACTATTTTGCTGAAACACGGAAAGTTCCAGCATAATATGCTGAGTTATGGATCTCATATGTATAAACTTCTAGCATATTATGTTGGAACTCTAGCACTCGAAAAAATCTAGTATAATATGCTGGACATTGGAACTCCTGGATATAAACTTCGAGCATATTATGTTAGAACTCCAACACATTATGAAATTCCATCACATTATACTGGAATCTCATATGTAAAAAAAATTTGAATTCCAACATATTATGCTGGAATTTTCCGGATTTTAAAAGATGTTCTTGTTCAAATTTTATCTTCACATGAAAAATGATAAAATTTCGATTAGTTTAAAACAATGACTATTTTTCTAAATCAGGGTATTTTTCTGATTTTCCCAAAAGAAATAGATTTGGTATCTCAGGATGGGTCACCTAAGTCTAAGGCGATACCAATTTTTGTTCATCTAACTTCAACAAACCATAATATAAGATCCAGCTTTGACTTTCGAAACAATAATTTCCATTTGGCCACCTATTAAATGGCCAACCGTCTCCTCCTAACAATAAATCCAATAGTAGCTCTTTAAACACTCATAGCCCTGTTCCATTCTCCCAGCTGTGCCCAACCACGTGCAATAGTAGATTGTGCTAATATTAAACCCCATCTTCGTACGTAACGCTCAAAAATCCAATCTTTAGATCTATATTTAGCTGCACAAATCTTGTACTGTTTCTGTTCCACTTGCACATCACACAATGGAAACTTGCATCTATCATCAGCTCAAATCTCAGCCTTTTTGGCTTCTTTTTCTTCTTTCTTTAGGTTCTTTAAAAATCTTATGCTTTTCAATCATCTTTCTCAAATGGGTCTATGTTAATTTCCTTAGACCTGGCAAAAATCTCAAGAAATATGGGTCATGGGCACTTGTTACTGGGCCCACTGATGGTATAGGAAAAGGCTTTGCTTTTCAATTAGCTAGAAAAGGACTTAATTTAGTTCTTGTGGGTCGTAATCCTGATAAATTGAAAGACGTTTCTGATTCAATTAAGGCTAAGTATGGACAAATCCAGATTAAATCAGTGGTTGTTGATTTTTCTGGTGATTTGGATGAAGGGGTTGAGAAGATTAAGGAGACAATTGAAGGGTTAGATGTTGGTGTTTTGATTAATAATGTTGGGGTTTCGTATCCTTATGCTAGATTTTTTCATGAAGTGGATGATAAGTTATTGGCTGATTTGATTAAAGTTAATGTGGAAGGGACTACTAAGGTTACTCAAGCTGTTTTGCCTGGTATGTTGAAGAGGAAAAAAGGTGCTATTGTTAATATTGGTTCTGGTGCTGCAATTGTTATCCCCTCTGATCCCCTTTATGCTGTTTATGCTGCTACTAAAGCGTAAGTTTTGCACACTCTTTAGCTGCTTTTATCTGTCTTTAATTCTCTTTTGGAAATTCTAATTTATAAGATTTTAGGTTATAGTTAGTTTTGAGGTTCCTTTTGGATTGAATTGTAGCAAAATGATTGCATCTTAGTTGAAACTTAGTAGAAAAAGGCAAAAGTTATACATAAGTTGATAAACTTTAAAGCCATTTAGAAATTGGTAAAAGTTCTTGCATATAAACTATAAGAGTTGATATTCATGTTAATGTACACACGCAAAATAAAACTTGTGTTATGGATGAAGTTTTTTTTTTTAATTCTCGTCCCCTTTGATCCCCTTTTGTTGGAGCTATTGCTCCTTTGGTGACTCGAACCCACGTACTTGAGGTTGTAGGTGGGGAGTGCTGACCATCTGAGCAACCCCTCTTGTAAGCGTATGATTTCATATGTGGTAGCTCTATATAAGGGGAGGTTTGAAGTGAAAAACTTGACAGTTCACTTTGCATACTGAGATGTCCTCATTTCCGGAATTTGCTGTATTATTGGATGACATGAGTCCGGATATCCTCTATTTTTCTCAAAGCAAAGTAAAGAAAGAGGACAACTTGTTCCGACAGTAAAGTTACATGAATTTCTGTAGAAGTTAAATTGATTCTGGAAATAGGGAATGGGGATTGGGTTACTGTACAAGGAATGACATCCAACATCATATTAATTAGTACCTCTTTGTTCTTGTTTTGCGATGAATCTTTTATATTAATTAGTAGCTCTTATATTCTTTCTTCTTCAATGCCCTCCCATCATCCCAATTTCACCTCCAAACATAACTGTCTACTACATACATACAGATATCCATAGTGGTTGTATCCCTTAGTAATTGCTCCTCCATGCACTCTTCTTCTTTGTGACCCCACTTGACCAACCAATTTCCTCAGTTGGCCTTCCTCTCTCCACAGACCAAAAAATAGGGTATTTAGTTAGCAACTGGAAGCCAGTAAAAAGGTATGTTGTTCGGACTCTCCAAAAATGTCATTGGGTGCGTGTCGGATCATTCAAAAGTAGTGTATTTTTGGAGGATTTGACACGGGTGCGGCAGCATTTTGGAGAGTCCGCGCAACATAGGTAAAAAGGACAACTTGGTGCACGAAGCATCCCGCGTTCACGGCGGTCTAGGGAAGGGCGAGTGCCGCACCCCAATGGGGTGTGACGTAGGCAACCTACCATGATGCAAGCATCAGTGGCTGATTTCACGGCTCGAACCCGTGATCTATAGGTCACACAGGTACAACTTTACTGTTGCTCCAAGGCTCCCCTTCAACTTGAAGCCAGTGCATTGCTGAAATTCGAAGGATGGTAAACCTAAGAAGTTGGAAGATAGTGCTTTCTTAAGAAATAACTTGACATGCAATCTATGCAAAGTTGATGCCATGCAATGTGGCATGCAAATGACAAAGATGAAAGTTCTCACTTAATGCTTCCCACTTATTCCTCATTTTATGATACTGACGATGTTTTAGCAAGATTTTGAATGTTTAAGCACATAATATTATTTTTCCGTAATATTCTTATGTGCTGCGTGGATTTGTTGGATCTATTTTTCAGATACGTTGATCAGTTCTCTAGATGCCTGTATGTAGAGTACAAGAAGAGTGGGATTGATGTGCAATGTCAGGTATATGTTATACACTTTGTTCACTTGCAGTTTTTTTTTTTTGCTTTTTTATTGTAAACCAGAGTTTATCTGCTTCTTCATTTGGTATTTTTTATATGACTCACCACATGATTAATGTATTGGTATCTTGTGTTGTTTGGATTTGGATGAGGAATTGTCCTTCATGCCCGGTCTAATGAGCTCCATGCTTCTACACACTTATTCTTGTCCTTAAGTAACCCCCACGTATAGCATGGTATAAAAAAAATTTACTTGACTGAAAAAGTTTAAACTTACTTAGGACTTACAGGATATTACTTCTTAATAGTTATGAGTCTGGAACTACAGAGTCCCAATATTTTTGGATTAGGACCATAATCACTCCACATATCAGGGTGATCATTTGGCTGCACTTACTGTCTTTTGATCCCATTTTCTTGTCAGTATGAAAGTTGTTGAATTTTGTTATGCTAGAGTATAAGTCCTATGTGAAGATTATTAAATGTGTTATATCCTAACACTCTGGATTCTACTTTTGTTCTTGGTACTTCAGTGGAAGGCCTTTTATCTGCTGTCTTTTGCTCTTTGATAAATTTATTCCACAATCTGAAATACACAATAGAAGCATAAAAATATAGTCTTTATATCCAAATCTTAGAAAGGGCACCACATGAAGAGTTTATTGTTACTAGTTATTCATTATGGATGAAGATGTGAGGCTAAGTGTGTGGCGGGGGATGATGGGGAAATTGGAATATTGTTGATATTATAACATTGAATTTTTTAATTCATGTATTTTTGATAAATATAAATCAGAATTCTACCTACAACTTGCTCTTCTATTATTACTAAGCATTAGGAGCAACTTCTTTTTATGGTAAATGAAGTTGTCTGGTGGCGTCTAGTTCAACTTCATCAACAAATGCGCTGAACAAGCTCTTATCAAAGTTGGAGGACATTCTGACCTCCTCCTTTACATTTTCTTAATTTTCCTTTCTCTGTTTAAAACTGCCATATCTTCTGTGTCAGGAAGTTATATAATGTGTACTGAACTATTTTCACTTCATGTAACATCATTCTTTCTTCTCCAAATATAGGTGCCGTTGTATGTGGCAACAAAAATGGCGTCGATCAAAAGATCTTCATTTTTTGTTCCCTCGACTGATGGTTATGCTCGGGCTGGCCTGCGATGGATAGGTTATGAGCCAAGGTGTACGCCTTACTGGCCCCATTCTCTTCTGTGGGGTTTGATATATTCATTGCCAGAGTCGATTGTTGATGCTTGGCGCCTGAAGTTTTGCATGGGAATTCGGAAGAGGGGGCAGATGAAAGACTCCAGGAAGAAGGAATAGAAAGCACCTTCCTCACCTCATCCCTTATCTTTGAGTCTGAATAGCTGAATTCCTATCTTCTTCTTTCTGTTCCTGTTTCCAATTGGGTAATGCTAATTCTGATAATGCAACAAGAAGGTTGGTCTTGTTCTTATTAAACAAGCCTGATCTCGTTCTTGTGCGTTCTTAGCTGTAGGTTGTTTGAATCAAGAGTAGTCCAAAAGAAATTCGAGTTCTCAGATCTCTATTATGTCTAGCCAAAAGAACCATTTTCCAGGGCAAGTAATTGAGAATGATTCTGTTTGTATTTGTTCTTTGAGTTTGATGTTACAGGATGAGATTTAATCTTGGTGTTTGCTTATTTGAACCAATGAATTACCTTATGTTTTAATATATAACAGATAATTCATTGTTTTGAATAGGTTTGAATTGTATCCAAACTCATTTCTCTGAGAATTGTGATATTACAATTGTTATTGGATTTTCCAGTCTCAAGTATTAGAAGATAATCCTTTGACAATTTCGCTCAGTTTGATTGTAAAAATTTTTACCCAACTGTAAACGAGCATATCTTATCATTTCAAGATTGAGGTGAGGTTTTATATGTTTTTTGAAAATATTGGCTAAATTATGACGATGTTACATTCTCAACCTTGTTCTACCTCTAAATAAGGGGAACAAGAAGAAAGTATTAAGTACAGAAAAAGAACTGGAATGCTAACTAATACGCAGATTCATAAACTTTATCCAAGAAATATAAAATTCATTTGCAGCAGGAAGTAGCATCGGACAAAGAAAAATGTAGTTAATTTTTTATCACCTCATAAAAGTTTTGTTGAAATCCAATGATAATATGTTGAATTAAACAAAGCATGCTAGTTTCTACCTCCAAAAGAAGGAGAAAGTTTTATCCTTAAATTAAAAAAGAAAGGAAGGTTACTTCTTTTGCCAATTTTACAACACATGCTCATTCTAAAGCATCAGCAGAAAAGAAATCACTCTAACCTATTCCTACTAGGATTCTCATGCAAATCCAATCATGTCAACAAGGAAAAATAAGATTAACACCTAAACCGAAGATAAATACCAGAAAATGGTTAATGCTATACATATTATCATTGGATTTCAACATTTCTGTAAGCATCTACCAGTTGAGCCTCTTGATCATATCCATTGTTTCCATTTCTGTTCTTGAAAGATTTATCGCTAAACATGCGAACAAACATGCTTTTTGACCTGGGAACTTTTTGAGGTCCTGAATCTTCTGATTTTCTACCATCACCGTTCTTCTTGGCTAGTTCTTCTAAGATAATCCTGATGCTACTCTCAAAGCGGCGCCTGAATGTTGGATATCTTGATATAGATTTTGTGATGCCTCGTAGTCTTCATAACAAAAGCAGGAGCGTTAACACAAAATCAGAATGCTGTAAGTGGTAACAAAATCAAGATGCTATATTTCACGGATTATCACCTTCGAGCTAACGCCTCAAACTCAGCTCGCCTCAGATCAGATTCAGGTGGTGATCCAATATTTGAATTCCTCAACCTCTCAGGATCACCACTCAACAAAACCAATTTGCCAAGGTACTCCTCTTCGCTGTCGGAAATATTTTCAGCTTTGATCTGGTCTTTGATGATCAAGAGTGGATTGAGAAACCACTCATAGAATGTATCTCTGGGCCTGTTTGTGCTGGTTACTTCGGTACCATCGTCGTCTGTATAAACAAGGTTTACATGATTAGTCCTTTTGGTATAAAAACCCCAATTCTACATTAAACAGTCAATACTTGCATATTTGACTTACTTATCAAAAGACCAGCGCTGTTGGCTTTGGCAGAACGTATAAGGGTCTGAAGGATGCAATAGGCAGGCAAACCAATGCTAATGACTTGACCACTATCTCTATTAGACTTGGCATCTTCAATGTCTTTTTGTGTAATTACTCCTTTAGATACCATGATTTCCCCATGATATTGACAGCCCGTGAATAAGCCATCAAGAAGCTAGAGTAGTAATATATGTTAGAGTGCAAAATTAGCACCAAAACTTCACAGCCAGGTTCTGGTGAAGCATCACAAAAGCAAAATAACTATACCTCGAGGGGCTTCAACTCGACCATGGGAGCATTGATGGAGTTCGTACGAGATGGTGGATTTTTGAAAGATTCAGGCCTTGAGAAAGAAGCTGAACGAGAGCTGGTTCTTGATGCAGTCTTCTTTCTGTACCGAGGCCTATATGAATACCACAGATATACGGCAACTGTCAAAATTATTTGAAATTAAATATACATTTGTCAATTATCAAAGGTATTGAGGTTAAAAGGTTGTAGCTATCGGAACCTAGGAAAGCAGGATCCTTCTGGCATATCTAGCACATCATTGCTATATTCATCATATATGGACAAGGAAGCAACGATATAGCAAAGCCCCAACCAAAGAGAAGACTCCTGACGTAGAAAGCATTGGTAAAACATTAGCAGTTCAGGAAATGTATAAAACGCAAGAGACAATTTTGAGGTCCTTGAAACAAAAAGGGAACTTCACCTGATATACAACTACTCCTGAATAAGCACCGAGGAGGATACTTGCTAACATTGATCCAATGAATGCCCCAACAACAGCCATTGGCCAGAGTAAGATAGCAAGACCAGCAAATGGCACACAGATGGTCTCTAGAAAAGGTCCTTCTCGACCTATACAATCATGAAACAAGCGACGCCACCCCTTCAAAAGCATGTAAGGAAATTTGCAAGCAGCAATTACTGTGATCGTCGGTATGTCAACCAGGAGTCCTAGTGCTACGGCTACTAGCGCCAAAGGTATATAAAGCAACCTGTAATAGATTGAAAAGTAACTTCTGAGCAAAAAATAAATCTCTCATGAAGAATAATTAACCAGCCAAACCCCCCAACATATGCTAGCAGCTAAACAGCATAAGTCGAATCCATGATAATTGATGAACACTCTTGTTAAGGAAAACAGGAGACTTTTAAAAATGCTAATATCTTAAGTGCAAAGACCTACAAGATCCAACTTAAACTAAGGAGTTATAGCAAAGTACTAAAAATTTCCAAAAACTACTGCATCTGTATTTCTGTTTGACACAGAGAGGGAGATTCTGACTTGCTGATAAGTAGAATAACATCTTGTACATCTTTACTTCTGTTCTGTCATAGAGCATGGAGATTTTGACTGACGGACAAGTAGAATAACATCTTGATCTCATTCCGGTAATCCTAATACAGCTAGAAAACCCAGGGGGTCAATGTTTTTCGTATTGTTAGAATTAAGAGAAACTTAATAAGTGTTTTAAGGTTGAAACGTTGACACATGAAGATCTGCTAGTGATGAGAAAAGATACGTGCAATCAAGTACAGACGCTTACTTCCTTTTCTTCCTTTTCGTAAATTATCCCTCAATAACATTTTGATGAACTAACTTGACTCCTACTGAGTTCAAGAAAATTTCTTTGACAGTGTTGTTGAATTAGTTTTTGGTAGAAATATGTTTTAATAGAATAGGTGGAAGATGTAAAGAGGTATGAAGATGCTATAAACAGTAACTATTACATACTCCTATTTAACTTTCCTTTTGTGTAGTTTGCCAATTTAGTAACAGGGACATATTTTTGGAATGAACTAATTCAAAAATAGATCAAACCAAAGGGGAAAGATGGAGTATTTAAGATGCTTTAGAGGCAGAAGTTAAAACACCAAAAAGCGGCTTTATTGTATTTTTCAGCACCAGTGTAGATACTTCACTAACTGAGTTCGCATACCAACCAGATATCTGAAACTCTTTGATATTGAAAGATTGACATATGATAATATACAGAAAATTTTCCAACTTCAAATGGGGCAAAAAGTGGAAAAAGAACATCGAGATAGGTAATTCTGCAAAACCTGATCTCATAGTATTTTCCACCAGGAGGTCCTTGAAGTCGCAAATCATCCATGATCGAGAAGTAGGAATGGTATAAAACATCCCTCACATCCCTAACAATAGTAAAGCTTCCTTTCACCGTGTCCCAAGTCCCATCCTACCATCAACAATGAAGCAGTTAAGAAACTCGAAGCCAAAAGAAGAGATGAGATGTAAGCAGTGTAGGAAATAGAAACCACTTAAGACATACATATATACTGTGAAAGAAGGCATTCGTCTTCTTTCCACCCACAGCTTGGAAAGTGGCAAACACAGGAGAAAGGAAGCCATAAGCTGCCCCACCAACAATGCTGCTTGCAAATCCAATCAACGGCCACAAAAGTAAAATAATAATGACACATATGCTTACCACAAGTTTTAAAGCTGGACCTAATTGCTTTGAGCTGCAATTCATAAAACAAGGTGGAAGTCACTAAAAATTAGTATCTTTAGATACATGAGGTTAACCATGAACCACAATAGCTAAAGAATGCACCTCCATAGACAGTAATACGTATAGAACAGGTGCACAGGCCAAAGACCCAAAATAAGGGCAGAGTTTCCGACAGTGACTATAACGAGGATCAATGGGCACAAAATGACACCTGCAAAAAGTCAGTGGCAAAAACCTGTCATTTCTCTTCATAGTCAAGGAGAAAAACTTTGGCACGATAATGACATTAATACAGAGTAATCAAGGGCGAGATTTCACAATGTAGACCACAATGGTATAGACATTTGTGGTCAATGGCTCACTTGTAAAGGCAAGCAGCTTGCAAGGCCAAAGTTAAAGTTAATCTGGCACTTAGTACACATCATATTTGAAATCCCAGCGGAGACAAAAACACTAGGTAATTTCTTCCATTTGCCCAAGCCTTAGTGGCGTAGTTCCCCAGTACCTATGTTGGTAGGAGGTAGCAGGGGTAGCAGGTACTAGTGTTGTCAAAGGCGAAAAACGTTAAAAAGCACACAGGTCTATCAGGGCTTTTAAGTGCAAAGTGCAATTAAAGTGTGGGCTTTAGTTAAAAAAAGCACAACGAAGAAAAAAAATAGAAGTATATATGTAATGCAAGAAAAAAAGTAACAAGTTCACTCATAATGATTTCCTTTAAAATTTATAATATCTTTAGCCAATTATATTTAGTGTTTTGTACCACTCTGTTCAAGATAGAACTAATTGACAATGAGGCGTGGGCCTTAGTGCCTTGCCTACCCTATTAAAGTGCAGTCTAAGTGAGGCAAAGCGCATACCCTGAGCTTTTTTGAGCTTCAGGGTTTAAGCGCGCCTCAAATGAGCCTTTAACAACACTGGCAGGTACCCATTAGAATTAGTTGAGCTGCGCACAAGCTGGCCGGGCACCACCGTCATTTGGAAAAAATAGATTACAAAGACTAGCATAAAACGACGATTAACCGGCATAAAGTGACACTTGCCAAAAGTAAGGGGCACAACCCTGTCATTTCTCTTCATAGTCAAGGAGAATAACTTCGGAATAATA